ATTGGATTAAACAAAGGAGAATGAAGGGAAGGGAGGGAGGATGGGCATAGGAAAGACAGTAGAAGAAACTGGCACATAACTTTCCCATGTTAGTATATGATTACATGACAAGTCAAATTCTACATCATATATAACCCCCACAAGAATGGAATACTAATTAGAATGTTATATTCCATGTATGTTTAATATATGTAAAAATATACTCTACTGTCATGTATAACTAAAAAGAACAAATTTTTAAAATATGGAAAAAAATTTTAAAAAAATATGGAAAAAAAAAGAAATTTTATGGCCATGCCTGGTGGGGCACATCTATAATTCCAACAACTCAGGAGGCTGAGGCAAAAGGACCACAGGTTCAAGGCCAGCCTCAGTAACTTACTGAGGACCTCAGCAATTTAGCCAGACTCTGTCTTAAATAAAAAATAAAGGGGGCTTGGGGTGTCGTTCAGTGGTTAACTACCCCTGTGTTCAATTCCTGATTTTTTAAATAAAATAGAGTTATAATTGGTCCAGATAGACAATTTACTACCAACCCACAGCAATTGATCAAAATCTATTTCTGGGAAAAAATTTTATGAGCAGAGAGGCAAGATGTACTGTGCCTGAATCAAGAAAGATGACCAACATAGCTTAATTTGCTCTGATAAAAAAAAAAAAAAAAAACATGGTACAGAAACCAACAGACCATGTCACCACAAGGAATATATTTTGTGTCCTGGGGAGATTTAGAGATAAGATGTGCCCTACTTTGCTCATGATAGGGCTGCTCCTCAATAATACATTGATTTATTGACATGGAGATGATATCTTTTCTGCCTATGCAATCAAAAAATAATGTCAATCCAAAAGCAGAATCTGCAGGACTATAAAGGCTACAATATTCTTTCCATAGAAATCGTGTACAAACCAGTAACATCCACTTTAGGATGCATTTCTGTTAAAGGTGTTTGCTACTCTGAAACCTTGTCAGTGTACTCACAATGGCCTTAACTAAGGATTCATCTTTTTTTAAAAAAAAATGAAAAAGTTGTTGCTCTGCTCTTCTTGCTGGATTTTTATTTTCTTCATAAAGATAAAATGGAACATTATTTGTTGTTTGTCTTTTGGTACTAGGGATTAAACCCCGGGGCACTCCACTACTGAGCCACATCCCCAACCCTTATTTTTATTTTGTATTTGAAGACTGTGTCTTGCTAAGTTGCCAAATCTGGACTCAAACTTTCTGTCCTTCTACTTCAGGCTCCCAAGGCACTGGGATTAGAGGTGTACACTACCACATCCAGCAAATTGAACTATTAAAAAGAATATTTTTCAAAATTATTCAAGCAAGAGTCATTTATAACATTTAATTTGTTTTATTTGTTTTACTAATTGGTCTCCCTTAGTTTCTTTCACTTCTATATTCTTTGTTATATTTGTTCTCTATTGCTGTGTAACAGATTACCTCGAATTCAGTAGCGGAAAACAACACGTTTTACCTCACAGGGTTTCTGAGGATCAAGAGTCCAGTAATAGCTTAGACCAGTGATTGTGGCTAAGGATCTTTACAGTGAAGAGGAAGTCTGGGGCTGCCAATGTCTGAAGGCAGAACTAAGACCAGAGGATCTGCTTCAGTGCTTACTAATATGTTCTTGGCAGGAGGCTTCACCCAGTTCTTCACCAGCTGTCAGAAATTTCAGTTACTTACCACATAGTTCTCTCCATAGAGCTACTTACAAGGCTAGTAAGCTTTTCCCAGAGCAAATTATATAAGAGAAAACAAGATAAGAAGCCACAGCACCTTTTATAACCTAACCTCAAAACATATTCTATTGGTCATACAGACCAACCCACCTATGAGGCGGGAGCGAACTATACAGGCTGTGAGCGCCAGGAGGAAGGGATTATTGGAGTCCATCTCAGAGGCTGGCTCTGTGATAGATATGATTTACCCATAATGGAGACCTGAGGGGGAGGTATATATGCAGTTTACAAAATATAATGGCAAGATAATAAAATTATTTAATGTTTTAATGTTCTTGTTACATTATTCATTCTCTTTAACCCCATTATTATCAGAGTTTGGTAACCTTACTAGAATTTTGATAATTGGCATAACATTTGTGATAATTAGCATAGAAATTTTGATAACTGTTATAGCATTAATGCTTTTTTAAACTAAAAAGCATTAATCAAAATGTGTATTGAACAACAAACAGTTTAGAAGTGCAAAATTACTTTCTTCCTCATGATATCAAATTAAAATTAAAATAATATGGGCAATCTATTTCTTTTAATCCAAGTTACTTCTTAAAACTTTTTGGCATATATGAAGGTGCCTAAAGCATCTTTAGAGTCTGTCAATTATTTGCTTATGTTAAAAGACAAGTAGAAACTGGTTTTATAGCACAGAATATTCATATAGATTAAACATTGAGAAAATATGCGTAGGCATTAATATCTAAGATTACTTGTCATTTATAACTCCAAACTCATGTTACCACAAACCAGAATATTCTGTTTCTTTATCAGTGAGGTCAATAAAGTTATGTTTTGACAAAGTCTTCCATCATTGATATTATAATGCACTATTTAAATTTTATTTCTTATAAGATGCTAACCATTCTTTACATGTTGGGGTCATCCAAAAATGTAGAATCACAGCATTTTAGATCTGGAAAGATCTTTAGATTTTTTTTTATGTTAAGAGCATTCTTCTTTTTTGTAAAGGTTGGGAAATATTATAATCGGTGGTGCTGCCTTCTCAGTTCCCTGTTTGTCTTTAAAAATCTAACTATAATTAAGGACCTAGTAATACCATAGAGCAGTAAATCATGGTAATTATTCTCTGTATATCATTTCCAGAAAATACCAATATCAGTTGATACACAATGGTTTCAAGTGTTAGAAGAATGGAAATCAAAGACAGACTTGGGGCAGACTGTGTCCTTTTGAGAATCTCCTGTCTTTTCCACACAAGTAGACACACTTGCATTGTATGGCAATGATCAGTCAGTAGTCTTTCTCTGTATTTAACTTTCTTCTTAAAAATAAACCTGAGATATTTTTTAAATGATCAAGGTGGAACATAGCATTCATTACAAATATAGCACATGCAAACACACAAGAACACACCTCAAACCTAGATTAAAGAATTTATTTTGCTTAGAATCGAGGTTATATTACAACGTTTAATTCTAAAACAAATGATTTTTTTCTTTCTTTTTGTTTGGCTTGTGATAATACAATGTATCACATAGAGCTAATTTTAGCGGAGGATTACCCTAAGCATTAAGCTAATTCCTTTCTCTGACATTAGTCCCAGCTAATTTACACAAGAATTATGGGACTTAGCCAAGAATGAGCCAGCTTTCAGTGACTGAGCTAAATTTTATTTCCTAGGTTTGATTTGCAATATCAAAATTTGATATTTTCCAAGCTCATTGACTGGAATATGCATATTTATGATAGGATAAGTTCTTCAATAAAATCTGATTGGTACTTGGTAATCTTTCCAATATTTTAAATTAATGTTTCGATTCCTTACATGTTACCACTAAACTTTTTAATTTTCTTTAAATCAAGGACCATCTTTGGGCTGGGGTTGTATGGCTCAATGCAAAGCACTTGCCATTTGCCCAGCATGTTTGAGGTCCTAGGTTTGATCCTCAGCACCAATAAAAATAATAAGTTTAAAAAAAAAAATCCTCCACTTTCCTTTTCTACTTTCGTGGTAGTTTTTCAATTATTTATCATTTCTGTCAAAGGATTTCCACAAATTAATGCTCTAAAATAGTTTTCTTAGAGCATAGTTATGTGTTTTTTTTTTGTTGTTGTTGTTTGTTTATTTGTTTTGTTTTGTTTTTGGTACTGGCTATCAAACCCAGGAGTGCTTTGCTACTGAGCTACACCTCCAGTCTTTTTATTTTTTAATTTGAGATAGGATCTCCCAAAGTTGCACAGGCTGGCCTTGAACTTGAGATCCTCCTGCCATAGGCTCCTGAATCCCTGGGATTACAGCACCCAGCCATTGGCTCCTCTTGTGTTGCTTTATTATATACTTTAGTAAAACCACATCAACTCCAACCTCCTAGCTCTGACTTTTCAGGAGCATCTATCCTAAATTTTATTTCCTTTTTAGTATAATAACATATTTTAAAACAAATTTTATTTCAATAAAATTTCAGTTGTAAGAATATAAAGAAAAATTTGTCAGGCTTCTCAATAACATCTGAATCTGAATAGCTCCCATGTAAGATTCACAACAGTTAATACACTTTTCTATTTTGTTCTTCAAAACAGGCCTCCCGCCTGTGAGGTGGATAGGCAATTATTATCCCCATTTCACAGAAGAGAAGACTATGAGCTCCTTCAGTTTGTGGAGCATGAGCAGAGTCATAGGTGGAAACCGGGGAGGCTTGTGTGCAGTGTACAGCCTTCTGCACAGATCCCTAGATTGTATGTCTGTCTCTAAATAGAGCTTTTGTTGTTGTTGTCTCCTGGTGCATAACAAACTACCCCAAAACTGACTTCAAATAATCATTTTGTTATTTCTCGCAAATCTGGGGGTCAATTGGGACTCCTCTGGACCGTTTCTTTGTTGGTCTCATTTGGGTCCTCACGCAGTTTCAGTGTGTGACAGAACTTCATTCTGTTTCCTTACTTGGAAGGCTGGGCTCAGCTGTAACATGGAACATCTTGACCTCTCCTTCACGTGACCTCTTGACATGATCTCTCCAACAGGTTAGCTGTTGTTTCACATGGCAACTCAAGGCTTTCAAAAAGGGCAAAGTGCAAGGTTCCAGGCTGCCTTACAGTTTCCACCCAGAGTTGCTTCAGCCACATGCTTTTGGTTGAAGTGCACCACAGAGTCAGATCAGGTTCAGACTGGAAGAAAATACACAGGGAATGAGGAGTGGAAGACCCCACTCAGGGCCATCTTCAGAGACCAGCTACTACAAGTCTAAGTGTTCCTTTTCCTGCACTAAGACCTCAATTCCTCTCTACTCCTTTTTCAGTTCCCTGTGTCTCTGGCAGTTTGCCTAAACCTACAAATATCACCTTCTTATCTGTAAACATGAAGAACGTCCTACAGTGGAATCCACCAGAAGATCTGCAAGGCATTGAAGTTAGGTACACTGTGCAGTACTTCATGTAAGTTGGTCCTTTTCCTCTGGCTAGTCTTAAACTCAAGACTCAGACTCCTGTTAATTGTACAAAGATAAACAATCTGTGATATTAGTTTTTTGGAAAAGATAAGTTTTTGATATTCCATGGTTTCATGATATGTTTTGCTATATCAAATTAGAAAGTAGTTTTTTACAGAGACAGAAGCATTGGATGCTCAGGCAAGGGGCGTTTATTTAAATGGAGAAAATGAGTTGGTCAAATAGGATTCTCTGGCTAAGCAAGCAAGGCAGTAGCTCATCTCTGAAATTTATAAGGGTACTGGAATGATAGGCTTAGACCTAATGAAATCATAGACTTAGACTTAATGAAACTAAATCCAAATTCTGTGCAACCAGCTATTGATATTAAACATAGTGGTGAGTAGATAATTTTGCTTTCCACCTCTCCTTTAAAACTCATTGCAAACACAAAAGAATACCCAATAGAGAGGTACCTGTATCCTCATCGTGCGTGACCAAGGAAATGGCCACCACCCCAGACCACAAACCATAAAGTTACTACTTTAGTAAAACCTTATGAATGGTAGAATCTAATTTCTGTTTGTTCAAATATCTAATCATCCTTCTGTTTATATTTAGCCCAACTAGATATCCAGAATCATGTACACCAAATGTCTTAGGATAATGGTTTTCTGGGTGATTTATTCCTCTCTTGATTATACTTTTCTGATTTTTTTGATCATTTGAATTTTTATAACGTGTCACATTTACAAAAAGAAGTCATTTTCATCTTTGAATAAAAAAATATTCTGACCACCAAAATCAGTTAAAGACTTCAGCAGGTATTCATATTGACTTCATTTATCTAGAATCCCAATCTCCACCTCATTTATCTAGAATCCAAGTCTCAGTCTGTGGAATGTTTAGTTTCATTCTGTGGAGTATTAGGAAAGAGGAAGAGACGCCAACTTCACAAAGAGAAATAGCTCATGAGCATGCTCTTGCTTTTTTTTCCATTAGGTGGAGCAAAGAGCTTGCTCTGTCTCTTATATTTTTATGTGTTTCAAAGAAAGGACTTTAAAAATAGGCAGGCTCATTACTGCTCTTATGAGCGCAGATAATTTACATTGTGCAACTTTTAAGAAGACTTAAATAGAAGCTTGCAGGTTCAGAGTTCTGACATGCCCATGCAGGTGGAAGATGGACAGGAATACTGAGTAGATTTTGCACTACTTGAATACAGAGCTGATGCAGAATCAGTCTCCAGTTCATGGCCAGGCTGTGAACCTAGCTGGATAACCTTCAGCGGGTTACTACCTTTGATACTTTTGAGTGAACTTTGTTTATAAGGTAAAATGTTAACAAAAATACAAACAATATCCACCAAAAGAATTGAATGCTGAAAATAGAGTGTCACACTAAAAGCACAAAATTTGACATCATGGAAAAGTGGTTCAAATCTCAGATGTTCCTTTTAATTAGTCATGTGAACTTAAACAGATCCCTTAATCTAATCTTGCTGAGTTTCAATTTCTTTACCTGTAAAGTGGCATAAAACTAATCACACCTGCCTCTTAAGGTTGTTACTGTGATTCAAAGAGATGAGGTGTTTGAATCCTGAGCATGAGTCTGAGCACAGAAGAGGCTCTTGGTGGATGCTTCTAGTTGTTACTAAAAACAGTCTGAAAACACTAAGGGCTCCCATGAATTTTTACCATGGATAAATATCATTACTAGAATATTTGTTGAATAATTAATTTTACATCTTTCATTGAGAATCCAGTGAAGCATATTTTCAGAATCTGTCATGAGAAGATATCCTACCCTTGGCAGAGTGAAGAGGTGCAGGAGGGAGGGTTGAATAGGCAAAGCCAATATTTTTCAAACCTCAAGTCAAAACCCTTTAGTGGGTCAAGAAATCAATTTTGGGCCACATAACTAGCATTACATGTAATAGAAGAGAACGAAATGGTGTGATGTGGTGGCATGGGATGGAAAAGAATTTGAATGCATGGTATGTAGTGCAGTTTTGGTATTATCCTATAAAACTTTCATTTTCATATGTTAGATATGATTGCTTTATGATCTGGATCACAATGTAAAATATATCTTGAAAGAGGATCATAGTCAAAAACGTTTGAGAGTCCCTAGGCAGTTTTGATCACTTAGGTGGAGAAGTTGGCTCACAAGATCTGACAGTATTTGTAATACCTTTTGGCAGGTATGGTACTCATGAAGTGAGAAATGTTGGCTTTCAGAAATCTATTGCCACATTCTGTAAAGGAAAGGCATCCTTAAGCCTTGGCAATACTTGATAAAGTTGCCAGATCCTCCTTATCAAGACACGCTCTTACCTTGACTTTTGTGGTATCTGTCTTTCCTCCTCCCTCTTTAGCTATTATATCCAAGTTGATTTTGTATCCATCCTTCAAATCTCTATGCTCCTGAAGTTTTCCACTAGACTATGCTTTGCATTCATGGATGAGTTCATTCGCGCCTACTCCCTCAATGAGCAGATGTCTGCCATTAACTCCAAATCCTCTCCCTCCCTCTACACCTCTCTCCTGAACCACATTGCCTCCCTGGCATCTGCACTTAGATAGCTCTTACATAATTCAAGCTCAACGTGTCAACACTGAACTCACTATCTTTCCCTCTTTCTAGCCCTGCCATCCCCATTTCCGAAGCCTGCCCTTTTTTAATGTTCCTTGTCATGGTTAATGTTACCACTATTCCATCCATCCCATCTTTGATCTCACATGCACTCAATCACCAAGTCCTGTCTCCTCTTATTCCTTGCTGTCATTTTGTCCTCACTCATTCCATGGTCACCATCTTATCCAAGGCATCTGCATCTTCCACCTCAATGACTGCAGTATCCCCTCAACTGCTCCCAGGATGCCACTCCTAACCCATTACATTCTCCACATCACAAAGCAGATTTGCTTTCTAAACCATGCCTCTCTCCTGTCCTCACCTTTAATCTCTTTAGTAGCCTCCCATGCATCCCTATACTGGCTCATCACATTTTACTTAAACCCTTTATACTTCAGTCTCTCCCCCCCAAAAAGTGCTAAAAATATTTCCCCTACCCTATTTTTATGAATGTTGTGTATTTTTAATAAAGGAAAAGAAAACCAAAATGAACAACCCTAGTCAGTATCGTCATCACCATCATCATCATCATCATTATTGAAAATTCAGTTTTTGGTACACACTCCAACCTAGTGAGTTTTCACCAACACTCTGGATGACTAAAAGATTTTTAAATTTTATGAGAATGTCATGGTAATTTTTCTTCCAAGAAAAAAAAATGACTAACTTTTCTTAGAATAACCCATCAAACTGACCTCATCTACAGAGTGGACTAAAACCTTAGATAATAACTAGAAGAACTGATCACATAATATGTAAGTTTTACTGTAGGTGAAGAATAAAAATAAAATACATGCTTTCAAAATGTACTATCCACATTATAATTCACAGAAAAGAAAGGTGATTACAGAAACTCTGACTCATGTTCCTGACAGCTAATGAAAAAATTGCCAGCAGCAAAAGTGGATTCTTTTTTATCTCAATGACAGGCACTTTTGTTTATCTGAAGAGAAGGTCTTCCATTCAATTTTATATAATGGCTGTTCTTTTTTTTTTCGTTTTGTAATTGTAAAACATAGAGGGTACCTCATTATTAATTCATAGTTTCCCTCTTAGCAGATATGGGCAAAAGAAATGGCTGAATAAATCCGAATGTAGAAATATCAATAGAACCTACTGTGATCTTTCCGCTGAAACTTCTGACTATGAACACCAATATTATGCCAAAGTTAAGGCCATTTGGGAAACAAATTGTTCTAAATGGACTGAAACTGGACGATTCTATCCTTTTTTAGAAAGTAAGTAATGCAATCATTGGTCAAACATGCATTAATATCCCATTATTCTGCCCTCCTGGTTTGACTTCTCAGCCCCACAGACAATCTTACCACAGAGAAAAGGGCTCTGCTTGGTCCTATTCTGCCCCAGCAGGTTGAGTGACCAGGCCAAGGTACTTACCTTGCCAAACCAAAATTAAGGCAGGTGCTAATAATATTGAATTTGATTTTGTTTTTTCATTTGGTGGAAGCTATAAAATTTGAGAAACAACCAACAGATTTTTTTTTTCTTTTTGAACCAGGGATTGAACTCAGGGGCACTCAACCACTGAGTCACTTCCCCAACACTCTTTAATATTTTATTTAGAGACAGGGTCTTCCTGAATTGCTTAGTGCCTTGCCTTTACTGAGGCTGGCTTTGAATTCTCCATCCTCCTGCCTCAGACTCTTGAGCTGCTGGGATTACAGGCATGCACCACTGCGCCTGGCCAACAGATTCTTTTTAATGTTGTAAATTAATGCAATCAAGGAGATTGTCCTTTTTGTCCTGATCACTCAACTAAGTCTCTCCTTGTCATAAACTTGGTAGTGTGGTGATGTCACTTCAAGGTGTGACTCAGAATGAAGGCAACATCTTCTTGGTATTTGCTTTTATAGTTTGCTTTCTTGTGATCTGTGGCTGACTCAGCCGTGAAGAACTAACATGGGGCCACCATGATGAATCCTGCAAGGTCTCCAGAGGCTCCCAGAGCTGGTGCCATTCCCAGTGCTCTGCAAATCAGAGGTTGGCAAACTACAGCCCTCAGGCCAGATCCAGCTCCTTCTTTCTATTCTTCTCCAGGTGCTAAGAATGGTGCTTATATTTTTCAATAGTTTTTAAAAATCTAAAGAAATCCAGAAGACAGGATGAGGTAGCCCATACCTGGAATCCCAGTGACTTGGGAGGATGAGGCAGGAGGATTTCAAGTAGAAGGCCAGCCTCTGCAACTTAGTAAGGCCCCGTCTCAAAATAATAAATAAAAAGAACTCGGGATGTGGCTCAATGGTACAGTATCCCTGGGTTCAACCCCCAGAACTGGGGAAAAAAATCAAAGAAGAATATGTGTGACACAAACCATGTTCATTTGCTTATGTAGTTATCTATGACTACTTTTGTGCTAGAGTAGAATTGTTGCAACAGAAGCCCATGGCCCACAGGGTCTTAAGTGTCCTTTCTGGACCTTTTTGATAAAAGTTCACTGATCTCTGAGATCATTCTAATTGTTATCTCTGATTTTTCCACTTATTGAATCATATTAATATTATTTATCACCATTTTTTAAGTCACAGCAATGTTACAAAAACTTTTGGTTCTATTTACCATTATCAAGTACTGTTTATCCCTGTGCCTTGGAACTAAGTAAATACAGTGCCCCAAATTTGCTCTTTTAACTTTGTGTCAAGGTATATGAAATGACTGTTTCAAGATCTGGTGTACCTGGAGCTCTACTTAGCATGTTTTGTGGCATTTATAGTAGATATTTTAGGTCTTTGATGAAAGTAGGATTATATTATAGCTTTAATAATAAGGTGATTTTTTTTTTTTACATAATGCCCTCCCTACTCCCCTTTAAGCACAAATTGGCCCACCGGAGGTTACCCTGACCACTGACGAAAAGTCCATTTCTATTGTCCTGACGGCTCCAGAGAAGTGGAAGAGAAATCCAGAAGACAGAACAGTTACCATGCAACAAATATACTCCAATCTGAAGTACAACGTGTCCGTGTATAACACCAAATCAAAAAGAATGGTAAGCCTGAAATGGAATGGGGCACATACTCCACGTACCACTTTCTGTCACTCAAGTGGAACAAGCAGCTCTAATCCTTTCTCTCTGTGTGAGAATAAGGGAAACGCGCTCTTGAAGAGATGTCCCGGAGCCTAAAGCAGGAGGATCACAAGTTCAAAGCCAGCCTCAGCAATTTAACAAGGCCATAAGCAACTCTGAGATCTTGTCTCTAAATAAAATATAAAAAGGGCTGAGGATGTGGCTTAGTAGTTAAGCGCCCCTGGGTTCAATCCCCAGTACCAAAAAGGAAAAGATGTGTGATACGAGAGACAACTGAAGATCATTTGTAGAAAATTTACAGAGCTGAACTAAGATGTTCCTCCTAGAAGCTCTATTAACAGTGCCTGATGCTATTGTTGGAGTATAGAGCAATTGTGTGCTTCCCTTGATGAAGAGCCTTTACTTGCATGTCCCCTGTCAGTCACTCTAAGGATTAAAAAAAAAAAAGTCAGCAAGAACACAGGACAGAGTTGAGTAAGAAATCCACAGCCCTATGTTATTACTTAGAATTGTTCCTAGAATTGGTCCATGCTTTGCTGAGCTATAAATAAATAAACAAACAAACGAATAAATAAATAAAAGGATATTTTTAAATTCTTCCTGAAAAAGTAAAAACTTGTAGTGATACTCATGGGTCAAATGACAGCTCAGTCTTCTATTTCCTTCTGGAGTTGACTTTAACTGCTGTTTGCAATTCCCTGTCCTAGTGGTCCCAGTGTGTCACCAACCACACGCTGGTGCTCAGCTGGTTGGAGCCTAACACTCTGTACTGTGTCCACGTGGAATCCTTTGTCCCAGGGCCCCCTCGCCACATGCGACCTTCTCAGAAGCAGTGTGTCAGTACTTTGGAAGGTAAGCTTCAAAAAAAAAATCTCAGCTAATTTGAGGAAGGAAATCTGATAAGGCTAGAAGGAAGTATAGCAGTTTAAACAAGATTCTTTTTTAAAAAAACCTTTTTATTGTTTTATTTTATTTTATTTTATTTTATGTTTATTTATTTATTTATGTTTAGTTTATTTTATGTTCACTAATTCTAATACAAAATGAAATAAGGTTACATTTCATTTTGTCCTTTATTTAATTACTTTTTGTTCTAGAAAGGATTGATAGTGATTTAAAGTATATATACTAGAATAAGGTAATATAAATTAAAGGTAAACAAACCAAAAAGAAAAATGGGCAAGTTCATAGAAATTGATCCATGAAAGAAGCCAATCTAGAAAAGCAGTGTAAGAGGATCTTTATGGTTGCTACTAGTAATCTTTAAATTGTTTCCAAGTTTTTCAGCAGACCAGATAGAAAGAGACACATAACCAGTTGCACAATCACTATCCATGGGACTCCAATTAAACCAGTTGCTTAATAACAATCTAGTTTTTCCTGATACTAACATTGACTAGTTCTTCCAAAAAAAAAATAAATAAATAAAACAGAGTATTTGGTAATGAATAAAAGAGCAGTTATCTTTCCTCTTCTACTGCTACTGTTAGACTAAAAAGCCTTTGAAACATCAAATCATAAACTCTTCCCAGCCTAGGGAAGATAAGAGCCACCAAATAAAAACTCTGAGGGGAGACATGGGAAGAAGGGATGCATGCACAACTGTGGGCAAAATGGGACGGCTGACTGCTATTTTAAGCTCTTATGACTAAGATATTTATTAACTGGTTCCAGGTGATAATAATCATTAATCCTAACTAACAACTAGAAGACTTTGTTCTGCAAATTAATTGGAGATGATAAATTATCAGGTTTTCTTGATTTGAGTTTAGACAAGATGCTGACGAATCCATGCCTAAGAAAAGCAGGTTGAGGCAAAGACAGAAACTTCTATCACCTGAAATGAATTAAACTGCTTGCCAATGTTAAGGAATGTTGTCACCACCTCCAGGAGCCCTAAGCACAGGATCCAGGGTCCACTGCCAACAACCCTCCCTGGTCACACAGCTTCCTGCTTAGGAAATAACCTTAAGAATGTTCACACACATCCTTTTTCTTCTTTAAAGTCATAATCACTCTGATCAATAGAAGTTCAAGAGTCTTAGAAGTTCAACAGAAGTCTTCAAGAGCATCAGATAATTTTATTGCAAGAAACAAAGCACTGTCCTGAAAAATTCTTTAAAAACAGAATTGTTCTTGCTCTCCCTTGGGAATTCAAATTACAGGCTTCTCATGTTGTGCTCCAATACCACTTAGCTGCACGAGGGGATGGAATCAGCAAATCAGTAATTACTCCCCTGGTGTTAGAGTTGGCTTCTCTCTCTCCTTTGTCTCTTTCTCACATTTTCTGAGTGGGTCTGCTGAGGAGCTCTGGTTGAAGGCATTTGCTCCTATTAGTAGATTTGGTGTTCTGAGCATGGCATTTCTTTAATCTTTCTGCTCCCAGGTTGACAGGAGCATCACCTCAAACCTGAATAAATCCTAAAGCTGCATGGAATGCCTCTTTATGCATAATTCGTCACTTCTCCCTTCCAACAAACACACTTTGCCCAAAGCCTTGATTCTATTGCCAGCTATGAATAGGATTCCAGAGCCCCCACTTTCCTCTCCCCCTCCCTCTCATCATCCAAGATGAAACTGTCCTAAGGAAAAAGGGGGACTATTGTGAAGATATATGGAAATCCAGAGAAAAACATCATTGTTGAATTCCTGTATTTCTCATACCTTTTTCTTTACAATGAAGAGTCCCTTGCAATATTATAATTAAAACTAAAATGCCCAGCAAGCAAAGAGCAAAACAAAGCAGATTGAAGAAATCATTTTTGTATTTGGAAAAAGTGCTGTGTTTACTCACAGCTTGATCAGTGCCAAATGGTGGGAATGAATTTCCAGTGGAAATCATTTTACTCAGTTGGCAGAACCAACGCAACTAAAGCACAGATTAAATTAAACACTTCCCGGTGAGCAGATGGAGCCCACTTTCTCACCAGTGTAGAAAAAGGAATAAAATAATGGGGCATTTCTGATTCTGCACTTCCCCATCATCTCAACTGTTAAATCACTGGAGATAATTTTCCAAAGCACCACTTTCTTAAAAATCACTATTACCTCTTTGGGAGTAATTCTTTGAAAAATATTTCTGCTCTCCACAATCTCCCAATCCCTAAAATGCAGATGCAAGTGATCAGGTTCATTGAGGCACATGTGCTAGTGTACACAAGACCCTCAGTCATTGTTGTCATGACTCCTCTTAATTAGGACAGGCTCCATCAAGGACCTAAGGGTTGTATTAAGAAGATAGAGCTGACCTGCAGCCTAAAGCGGGAACCGGTGTTATTCGGACACATGTACCAACTGCATCACAGCCTTGGCATGTTACTGTGTGGGATCTGAAGATAAGCATGCTCTTCTGGAACTGGGCAGAGTAGAAGAGGCTGAGCTCCACCCCATACTGGACTTTTCCCACCAGCTATTGTTGAACACTCTCACTCTCCAAGACACATCTGTTTGCCATCTGTAACTGGATAGTTAGCTGGACAGTTACTTTGCTGCTTTCTCTTAGACCCAGGAATCAAAAGCATCCAACATTCTAGAATGTTAGACTAGAATGCTCCCGTGACACTCGTACTGATTTTATTACTGTGTAAGGAATACTTCAGAACTTTTGCCATTTATGCTAAATTTGTGTCCTTTTTCTACATCTGTTTTAGTCAGAATTAAAAAAAAAACAATAGGATAGATAATAAAAGAAAAGAAAGAGAGAAAGAGATTGATATTGAGGAGTCAACTCATGCAGTTATATATGCTGGCTAGTCTAAAATCTGTAGGGCAGGTGGCAGGCTAGAGACCCAGGGGAGAGCCGATGTGCTGTCTGTGTCCAAAGGCAGTCTGCTCACAGAATTCCCTCTTCTTCCAGGGTCATCAGGTTTGATTTGTTTTGTTTTGCTTGTTTTAACTAAGGGCTTCAACTGATTGGATGAGACCCATCCACATTATAAGGGATAATTTGTGCAAAATCTACCAATTAAAATGTTAATCTCATCTAAAAACTGCCTTCAGAGAAATATCTAGGATAATGTTTTGCCACATATCTGGGTACTATGGCCTAGCCACATTGATGCATAAAATAACCATCCCAACTTTCAACCCACAGTCTGATCAATGGTGGGCCAGGGCTGCGTTTCTTAAAGTTCTTTGCCAGTTTTTCATTCCTCTGAGACTTTTGCTCATCCTAAGCCTATAGCACTGAGAAGGAGTTGCTGCTATTCCCAGAGCTCCTGCTTGGCCACCTTCCCACACACACGTGCCCAAGCTCTGACCCTACCCAGAAAGTCTGACCTACCAAGTGCAAGATGGTTCTGTTAGACACCTACGTGGCCATGTCATACATTCATGTCCTCTACTGAATATGTGGAAACGATTGAGCCAGATGAGTGGCATGGGAAAGTGGGATCTTTGCAAGAGTTTTGCCATGCGGTTTGAAGAGCTGTAAGTTACCTGCAGTAAGACACATTGCCCCACAAATGTGCAACCCAGCATAAATCTCAGAGCCAGATGTAAGATGTTAGAGTGTCCACTAATGTCAATGTTAACATTTCCTTACTATAAAAATGTAATATGAGTCTAGATGATTCCTTCTGATCATTTATTGTTGGGAGATTGAGAATTCTGAGGCCCTTTGTATCATTTAGCTTGAGCTTCTTAATGTAGAGGTGAGAAAACTGAGTCTGTCCCTGAATGTAAATGATTTGCTCAAAGCATCTCAGCGTGGCCTGTGTTTTCTCATCATATGAAATCACAACTATCCAATCCTTACCCACCTCCTCTCTTTTGTAAACAGATCCATCATCAGCGTTGAAAGTTAAAATCATCTTCTGGTATGTTTTGCCCATATCTGTAATCGTGTTTCTTTTTTCTGTGATTGGCTACTCCATCTACCGATATATCCACGTTGGCAAAGAGAAGCACCCAGCAAATCTGGTGAGTGCTTGGCATACCATGCTCCAGGACAGAAATGGAAGCGCTAGTACAGATATAGTTCCTCCAAGGGCAGAATGGATTTGAAGTTAAAGAGTTTATGAGTTAAAAAGCACTTTTTATACTGGAGTAGCTCATGAACATAACCAAAAATAAAGATTCCTTCACTTTGAAAAGATTTTATATTTAACGACTGGATTAGACAAAGTCCTGGGATGCACAGATAAAATTAAGTTATGATCCCTGTCCTCCTCGAGGTTCCAGTCTAATCAGGCTAGAATGTAATACATGAAGGTTAAGGTGAAATCAGGCCATGGAGACTCTGGAGGTACAGGGAGGCCCCCCCAACCCTCCATGTGGGGCCAATTCTCACGTCAGAGCTTGCGTATGCAGGGGAAGTTTGGACATTTACTGTAGGCAGAAGAGACAGCAGAGGAAAAGGGGGGAAGGGGCAGATGTGTGGGAAACCACGCCATATTGCTGAACCATAAGGTTCCTGATAAGGGGCTAGACTGAAGAGCTGGGGTCAGGCCTGGTAACGGGGAAATTGGGATGATATTCTAAAGAGCCTGAGCTCTAATCTGTTGGCAGAGAGAAATCACCACAGGGTTTTAAATTAAGAGTGTCATAGCCATCATTGTCTTTTAGATCTAACTGGATATTAGGATAACCTTAAAAGAAATAAGATTATAAAATAAGAAAAGCCACTAGGAGACTGGGACAATTGTCCAGGGAAGAAAAAAAGTAAAAACAAAGAAAGTGGGACGTGGAGCTACTGATTAAAAGATGGAATGGAAAAACACTTAGGAGCAATATGTCCAGGTCTTGATCACTGAAGGCCAGGAGAAGCAAGCAGGAGCAAGAAGGAATAAGCCCGATGTCCCCAGACTGTCTGCAGAAAGGTCCCCAAGGCCTGAGCAGCATTTGTTTCACATTAGAACTTATTTCCTTGGGAATTAGTAAAAGATGTGTTCAAACGTATGTGTACACAGCAAGAATACCTGTTCCTGGTAGTTCCATTTGTAGACTTTTCTGCTATTCTGCTGGCATTTAGGTTTCAGAGTTATTTCTTAAGGGAAGACCTTTCCTGGGAGGAAAATTCACAGGAGAATTGATGATGATTTTTTTTTTTTTTGAATACTGAATATTTGTAAAAGAATGAGGCTGAAGTTCCTTTTTTCTAATGTTAAATGAAATCATGTCTTGGGGTGATAATGAGAGTCATAACCTAACTTATCAACAACTGGTGTTTCATAGGTAACAGATGCCTTCCACATATCCCACCAAAATTTTAACCTCAAATGACCTTCCCTGACACAATTTAGAAGTTCTCTAGCTACCATAAACTGGCAGATCAATTTCCCTTTTTGGACTTATTCTACCATGATTCATGCATGGCGAGGAGGGAGGGACAGTGAGAAAAAACATTTCTACTCACATTCTTACATCCGTTCTACATCCAACATACCTTTCCACATGCCATGGCACCCTAGAAGACCCCCACTTATTATCAAATACATGGCATACTATAAATACCAAAGCAATTATACAAACTCTCAATTTTTACCACTTTTAATGAGGCAGAGATTCTAATTTTGCAGAATTAAAAAGTTCAAGAAATTCATCAACTCACCTGCAATCCCTCAACCTGTTAGAGGAGGGGACAGCCACACCCTGCGCCTCAAATTGGGTAAACGCCTACCTGCAAATGACAGTTCCTTCCATACATATTTTGTGTGTCTTGGGTCTCTTGGCTCCCAGAAAATGAGATTTTTCTGTATATTCTGAGCATAACTTCCCTGAGTTGGTGAGAGTAGGTTTTTCAAACTGATGACACTATAAATTCTAGTTAACAGCTGTTTTTAATGTTTCTTCTAAAGTGAAAAGGTGAAAATCATTCTCTTCTCTCTTTATAGATTTTGATTTATGGAAATGAATTTGACAAAAGGTTCTTTGTGCCTGCTGAAAAAATCATGATTAACTTTATCACCCTCAGTCTTTTGGATGATTCTAAAATTCCTCAGAAGGATATGAGTTTACTGGAGAGAAGTAGGGACGGATCCAACCTTAATGATGCTGAGTCCCTCGGGGACCCAGAGCCCCATCCAGAGGAAGTGGAGACCATAAACCTAGGTTATGCTTCCCATTTGATGGAAATTTTCTGTGACTCCAAGGAGAACACCAAAGGAACTTCTCTAACCCAGCAAGAGTCATCCCGCAGAACAATCGCCGCAGGTAAAGCAGTTGTGGAATATGAGTATGACGTAACAACTGACATCTGCAGGGGGCCTGAAGATGAAGAGCTCTGTGTGCAGGAATTGGTGTCCACACAAGGAAAATTAGTTGAGCAACAAGCAGCTTTGGCCAACTTGGGCCCACAGATGTTACTGGGTTCCTATACCCCTCGGCTCAGCGACTTGCTTCACCTGGAACTCCAGCAAACAGGCTCAGAAGAGGGGCTAGAGGAAGAGCCATCCACAACACTGGTGGATTGGGACCCTCAGACGGGCAGGCTGTGTATACCTTCATTATCTACCTTTGACCAGGACTCCCAGGGCTGTGAGCATCATGAGCCTGACCAACTCTCAGAGGAGGGCCTTTTGTCTAGACTCTATGAGAAACAGGCACCAGGCAAGCCACCAGAAGAGAATGAAAACTATCTCAAGCAATTTATGGAGGAATGGGGATTGTATGTACAAATGGAAAACTAACCCAAGACTTCCCTACCATGACTCAGTGCAAACAAACGAGGGACCCAACAATAAAGAACCTGGACTACAAGTAGTGTATTCAGATTCATCGGGGTCAGCAAGAACGAGTTATTTCTTCTTCCTGTTCTCCTTTGCACTTGTTTGGTCCTGCCTCCTGTGGGTGTCTGGCTCACACATGTGGGTCTCTTGCATGTGCCCCTGGGGTACAGGGACTGGCCACTACTCTAGGCAGAGTGAGCATTCAGTGAATGTTTCCCATGTTGGGTGCAGAACTTATTCAAGAGGGTGCACTGAGGCCACTTTGTGTATTAGGTTCTAACAAGCATACTTCTCCAGTTTTCTTCTGGGCATTTACCATGTGCGTGTAATGCTATAAAGATAGTTCATAAAGGCCATTCATGTTACAATGCTACCTTTCTAGAACATTTTGATTTTGAGGATGAGATATTTGAAAAATATACAAAAAAAAAAAATAGGTCAGTGGTACGTAAGTTGGTCACATGTTAAAGACCAACCCACTCTTCATTCATAATAATCCAGGCTTAGAGGGAGTAATCCAGCACAAACCTCCATGATGTTACTTGCTTTTGTCTACCCTAAGAGGAGATACCCTAAGTTCTGGAACATGAACATAAATAATTATTCTTTTGTAACAGAAAAATGCCCCTTCAGTCATTCAGTAGGGGCTTTTTGTTGTCCCTCAAAACTAACCCAAACAAAATTGCCACATTTTATAATAGACTATTACATTTATTTCTGGAAATGTGTTGTTAAAAAGATATTTACATAATCTGTAAACCAGGGGGTCCCAGAAGCTGGAATACTATGTTACTCTTTTATGTCAAGTATTTTCAAGTGCCTGGCAGACTCTTTGGGGTATGTGAGTGAATATCCTCTGTCTGCATAATATTAAAATCAGTAAATAAACACAGGTCATAAGAAAAGATAATTTAATGAACTTGGAAAGGAGAGTTTATTAACATTTGACATAATTTACTGTGGGAACTAAAATGTACCATGAAATAACACCTTCCTGGTTAAATTCCAGTAACTATCTCCATGTCCTTTTCCAATTGTTTAGACAATTCTACAGTCATACTGCATTAAAATGTGACAGAATTTATAAAGTGGAATCATATAAAATTATTGGTATTTAGTTGTTTGAGATCTGTGTAAACAGCAATTACATATGGCCTACCTTAATATATATTTGTTTTAATCATGAACTCATAATTCACTGATGCTGTTTCAGAAAAACAGATACTATCCATATTTTCTCGTCATGTTTTTAACAAAGGCAGACAACACTGGTAGGAGAGATGGATTTGGGGGTCATGGTCTTTTGTGATTGTCCACAAATCCAAACAGTTTATGATCTAATGGTTTAATTTACAGCATAATTATATTAACCAGAGTGTTCTGTTCTAACTATATTTGTAGAAATGATTCTGTTGTTTTGAAGAGCAAAATTTCAACATGAACTATAAAAAAAGTTCAGGAGTGCAAGACAATGAGTTGTTATTAAGGCAAAAAAATAATTGATAATAGTTTGGCTTGTTCATTTCATTGACAAAATATTTATTGAGCATCTACTATATCTTTCCATACCCTCATCTGTGAAATAAAAATAACAACCTCCTTTGAGTTGCTTTGAAAAGAGACTATAGAAGCCACTTACAGCAGTGCCTGGCACATAAAGGTGCTCTGTAAGCGTTTGTTATCATCACTATTCACTGCCAGATCATACGCTTTGTACTGGAAAGAGAAGCCATTTAGACATAAGACTATTTTGATTCAAAAGCAGTCCTTGCCTCTCTTTATTTTTCTGACCTGACAGTACTATAGTATATTGCTTCCTGCTCTATGCCTTCAGATTCAAATCCCTCAGGGGTTAAACCACATTTTCTGGCTTTTGAAAAGGGAATCTAATTCTGAGTTGCTTTTCCATCTCTTGTCATTCTAGGCATGCCAGAAGTACTGAGCTTTTCTCTAATTTTGCTGCTTCAGTACTTTACAACATACATGTATACACAGGTGGTCCCTGGCTTAATGATGGTTCAACTTGATGATTTTTCAGCTTTTCCATGGTGCAAAAGCCATACACATTATGAAGAAACCTTACTTCAAATTTTGCATTTTAATCTTTTCCTGGGCTAGCAATTTGGGTTATGATCCTCTCTGCACCAAGCCACAGCTGCGAGTCAGTTATGGGATCCCAGAGGCAACAAGGGACGCTGTGGTGGCCTGCCTCACTGTATGTGTAGGTTACCATGACATGGGTGAGTGTCCCCCAAAGTCCATACGTTAAAGCCTTGTTGTACAGGGTGGCACTGTTAGGAGGTAGGAGGTTCTTAGCTCATTGGGGATGTGCCCTGAAGGACCTGGCTTGTATTGGGAACGCTGGTCCCACATACACTCCCATCATGATGTACCATCCCTGCCAGAGACCCAAATCCACCCAATCTTGGGCTTAAGTCTCCAGAATTCTGAGCCAGAATAAACCTCTCTTTACTTCATAAGAAGCCTGTGTATTTTGTTATAGTGATATGAAGCTGACTGACACAATTTATTAAATGCATTTTTTACTTATGTGTTCAATTTATAACAAGTGTATCAGAATATAACTCCATCATTAGTTGAGGCACATCTGTATGCTCAAACTCGAGTACATGATAGATATTTCTTGTGGGGAAGGGTTACATCTTCTCAGATGTAGACAGCTGTCATGCATCCTGTCTTCTGTGGCCAGACCTCTCCACTGCCTCTGGGACCTCATAAGATTCCATCTCTAGGCCTGAGGTTCAAGTGTAGCTGTGATATTGAAGTGTCAGTGACTTTGACAAGTCAAGTATACTCATCCTGCCTCTAGGCACCCCTCAATTCTAGAGCTTTACATGGTCCTTCCACATCAGATTGATTTTCCTTGTGACAACATGTCTTAGTGACTATTTCCATACCCTATAAATCCTAAACAACTAGGAAACAAAACTGAGTGTCATAAGGGTAGAAAGAAAGCAAAGTGAGCTTGTCACCTCAGGCTGTAAAATGAGAAAGATCTAGTGCCCTGGGCTGAGCTCAGCTCCAAAAAAAAATCAGTACAGCAAGGAAAAACTATTCGTACAGCCCAGAGCACAAGCCTGCCCAGGGTGATGAATCTAATGAGAACATTAAACAGAGGGCTTGATCATCATGGATGGGTGCACCTGGGTCATAAATCAAATTCCTTCTGGCCCACACATTACCACCCCCACATCTTGCAGATGAGTTTAGGCTAAATTAACCTAGAATTGTTTTTCTTGATTTTCTTTTTGTTCCCCACGTTGTATCAACCATAAATCTTCCATCTACATTTTTTTTCAAAGATTGCTCAAAAACATGTGCCTATAGTTTTACAATAAATAATGCTATGGCTGTGGGTATTTTAATAGTAGTTTTTATTTTTTATTATTGAAGATGTATATTCTAGGGGCTGGGGATGTGGCTCAAGCATAGCGCGCTTGCCTGGCATGCACGCAGCGCTGGGTTCGATCCTCAGCACCACATACAAATAAAGATGTTGTGTCCGCCAAAAACTAAAAAATAAATATTAACAAATTCATTCTCTCTCTCTCTTTAAAAAAAGATGTATATTCTATATTCTAAAATTTATATGTATAATATATGCATGTTATACACATGTTTGTTTATATGTTAGAATAACAAGAAATAAGTGGAGAAGAAAAGGAAAATTATCTATAATATTTCCAATTTTGTCTCTCCTGGGACATTTGGCAGTGTCTGGAGACATTTCTTTTTTTGTTATTGTTGCTGTTTTGTGTTGTTTTGTGAGACAAGATCTCACTATGTTGCCTAGGCTAGTATCAAACTTGTGAGTTCAAGTGATCCTCTCGCCCCAACCTCCCATGTAGTTGGGACTGCAGGTGCACCCCCCGAAACACAAGTCTTAGAGACATGTTTTATTGTCATGGCTCAGGGGGAAAGTGTAGCTTCTAATGGGGAGAGGCTGAGAATGTTACTGAATATCATACAATATACAGAACAGCCCCTCTGCTCTGTGTGATCAAGAATTACGTGGCCTAAAATGTCAATAGTACCAAGGTGAATAAACCCTAGTTTAGAACTTTTCAGACACTTCTTGTTGCATTGCATATATTTTTCCATAAAAGGAGGATTATATTGAAATCTTTTATAACTTACTCCTTTCATTCAAAAATACTTAACAATCTTAACTCTAGATTAAAGTTTATAATGCACTAATCTTATTCAAACTTGAACTTCTGAAGCAGCACATTAGGAATGATTTTCTCTAAACATAATGCTCTTAGAATTTTTTTACTGAAACAGTAACCACACATTGGAGCTATTAAGACTCCTTTACAGATACTATAGGGATTCATCTTGACATGACCGTAGCCATCTTGAGTCATAACTGCTGTGATGGCCCTACTAGGTTTTCCCACATAGTTTTCCAGCATACTATAAATAAGCTAAAGCATTAGAGTGGTCTATGGAGCTTGGATGAAGTCACTTTCATCTCAACCACATTATAAGCCCCCTACTTCTGGTTCAAATTGTGGGGGTCCCCTGGTCTTGCTGCCACCTGGGACTTCATTTCTGTCCATAAGATGCCAATAAATTGCACTCTGAGCAACCCTGGATCTGTCTGCCTCTTCCTCCAGTTTCATTGTACCTTGGGGCCTGTGTTGTTCCAGAACCGATACTATGAGTCTGTTAAAGATAACTAAAGCTTGGGCTGGGGATATAGCTCAGTTGGTAAAGTGCTTACCTTGTATGCACAAGGCCCTGGGTTCATTGCCCAGCACCACAAAAAACTTTCAACAACATTATTTCCTGAAAATCACTACATGCAGGACTTCAGACCCTCATTGACAGAGGCTTTGCAGCCCAGTCCTGTTACTATTTCAGCAAGACCCATGTTTCTTCTGGCTCCTTGCCTGTGGCAGCTGCAAGATTTTAATCCTACTTTGCTAATTTTAATCTTTAACAAGTTTGCCAACTGGTTTTCATGCTAGTAAAGATGCCAGGTTAAAGTTTGTTCCTGCATGGCTGCACACAATCTCCCTTTAGGGCGGGATGTGGGCTGGTATGTGATGTGACTTGGTAGCTTTATGTTAATGCTTGTGTTGGTGGATTGAGGTTCCTTCTGTCCCAAGGAACTGCATCTATGGCTCTTTGCTACATCTGGAAACATATGAGGCACTTTCTGCCTTACCCTGCCCAGCAAATTTCCTTTGATTTCTCAATCTGTCATTCTCTGGATTAAGTAGTACTTGGAGGCTTCCCACCAACCCAGAAGATGGACATATGGCCCATGTTTACATTTTCATGCTCTGGCCACAGAGACAGATGAACACTGATGGGGAAAACACCATCATCCATTTGTGTCCCTGGAATTGATTTCTATGGGACATAAAAATAAGACTCTGCTCTTACAGGTCTCATACAGTTAAAATAATTCACATATTATTCTTTCTTCTCATACAAGTACATTCTTCCCCATCCTGAAATTGATTGAAAATGTAGAAACTTCAGGATGTTTGATACAATGGGAAAAACATGATAAACATTTTATTCCCAACCCCCATAAAAGGAGGTATGGGGTCTTGGATCTCTTAAATTTATTGACTCTTTTGCTTTTAAAATAATTTGGTTGCATTTGACTGAAAAATTTACTTGTCAGAAGATAATAATTTCGCATACCTCATAGGATTATGGGAGATTTAAATAAAGTGTTTAGAACAATAATTGAGACAAAATAAGTACTCAATAAATGTTGCTAATAAAAATAAAGAGCATCAGAAGACATACAAGAATGTTTATAGAAGCATTGTTAACTAAAAAAGAAATCTAGAAGAAACACAAATGTTCATCAGTAGTAGAAAGCATTGAAAATAAATAAGCTACAGCTGATCGTGGCAATGTGCATGAATCTGAAAAAGGTAATATTGAACAAAAAGAGTGATTCCCACCTAGAGGATAATTCCACTTGCATAAAGTCCCCAACCGTGTGGAAATAAACACTATGGTGCTTAGGGACACATACCTATGTGGTTAAACTATAAAGAAAGGCAGAGATATGACTGACATAAAGCTCAGGATCATGGCTCCTTCTTGTAAATCAAACTACAGAGCAGGACTGAGCTCCAAGGGGCTTCCTTGGAATTATCAATGTTCTCCTTGAATGATGGTGAAAACAGAGTGTTTCTTTGATTAGTTTTCTTTAAACTGAGTACGTACCCCAATGTATGTATACTTAATTATGCAAAATGATAAGAGAACCCTCAGCTTCACAACACTGGAATTACAAGAGCTATTATCCAGTTTCCCTTGGAAGTCAGAAACAAGTGTATTTATGGTCATATTCTGTGTACAAAGTTTTGTCTAAGTCTAAAATTCTGCACAGGAAAGAGCTGTTGACAATCTGTTTAACTGAGTTTCTATGTTGAAGGGCATTGCCGAGTTTAACACTTGGGCTTTCCTAAGAACTTTCATTACTCAGAAAAGGATACCTGAGCCTTGGCAGGAAGTGAGGAGGACAGTGATTCACTCAAGTCTCTGAACTGCAAGCATCTGTCTACTTCTCACAGACACTAAGAATTAATAAGGCATGAGACCTCAGGCAGGCAGGCAGCCCTACTGAGAGTCACACCATGTGAACAGATCCCTTCTCCATCAAACAAGTAATACTTGACCTCTGTGGAACTGATTTCAATATGTGGAGAAGAATCATCTTTGGATTTGCGAATGCTTTGCCTTTGCACTTCGGCCAACTGTTCCTTTCTGTAATAAACTTGCCTTGGTTACAAATGCCTAGTGGCCATTAGCAAATAGAATGTGTTTGCTTTTCCTTTGTCCCATATTTCCTGCCAGTGTGTTGTCACCAACCTCCAAAATGAGAGATTTGTGAAATTAAATTTAAACACCACTTTCAAGTGAAAACACCTTTAATCCAAGCATATAAAGAAATTTAGAGCATTTAATCTTTGCAAAAAGAGAGAATAAAAGTGTAAACAGAACAATAATTGAGAATAATTTAGACATTTCTTGATATCATGTAAATCCTAGTCTCAAAAACCAAAAGTGTTGTGATCCTTCAGAATACTACATTTTAATAAGAGTTTTAACCAACAAGAAAGCTTAAAGAGGGGCTGGGGTCATGGCTCAATGGAAGAGCACTTGCCTAGCATGTATGAGGCACTGGGTTCAACTCTTAGCACCACATATAAATAAATGAATAAAATAAAGGTCCATCAACATCTAAAAAAAATTTAAAAAAAGAAAGAAAACTTAAAGAGAGTCTGGAAACCAAGACATAAGGAGAAATTAGGAGAGAATCCAGGATTTAGTGTTTTCTTCTAAGCAATTCGCTAGCTTGCAACTCATTCTGTTTTCCATAAATTGTCATGGACTTGACCTTCCATACAGCAGAGAAGAGCCAAGTAGTGCCTGTCCTTGCATGTGACAAACACCAGATTAGCAGCTCACCTAGGACTTCTGCACTACAGTGGCAGCTCTGTGTTCTACCTTCCAAGAAATTAGTTTGAGTCTAGAAGTCTCTTCTTTGTCACTCCCACCACCATCCCTTTCATTACACTATCATGCGTAAGTCAGTCAATTTTATGTATTTATTTTTCTCCTTAATGAAGTTTTTGGGTTGTCAGAAAAGGAAGGACTGTACAGTTAAGGCTCAGAAACTGTCTGGCTCCCATAGCTACCTCTAACTCCTAGACTAAGGCTAAACAATCACAAGAACAGCAATGCATCTGAGAGGCTCAAATAAATGATAGGTTCATTATTTTCAAACATTGCCTGTATCACCAATCAATCTGAATAAAATTATCCATTCTCATACCTTTGATCCAGAAATAAATAAATAAGCAAACAAACATAGGTAGTTAACTTTAGACTGAAGTTTTCAGGTTTCTTTGCTGGAAGTAAAGTACGTTATTTTCATTTTTATTTTCTGTTACTGAGGATTGAACCTAGGAGTGCTTTACCAATGAGCTACAGCCTCAGCCCTTTGTTGTTGTTATTGTTTATTTTGTTTTGGTTTTGAGACAGGGTCTCCCTAAGTTGCCAAGACTGGCCTCAAACTTGTCATCCTCCTGCCTCAGCCTCCTTGAGTAGCTGGGATTAACAAGCATGTGCCTCTGACCCCAACTATATCCCAGTACATTCTGAAACATAACTTGGCTAATATCCCATTTCTTAATGCACTCAAGGTCTCAGGTATGCTTAAATCTAAAAATCATATCATGTGCTTTTTCAACAGGTAGAAAAAAGTGATTGTGGAATAAGGGGAGGTGGGAGGGAGGGAAGATATCTTCACACCCTCAGCACCTTGTAGCACCCAGCTCAAGTTTGTGCTGAGCGAATGTCCTGAGAGCATGAGCAAAGACTCAGAAGCATAGAAGTGCAGGTTGCCACTTAGCCGGGAGAG